AACAGTACAACAGCACTTTTTGTGTTGGTTACAAAAAGCAAAGTGATTTATAATTTTGGGTTTTGATTAACAACAGCTATCACAGTTACTGAAACTACTGTTAACTCAACTATTTTTGAAACTTAGATATTTGTTTAAAGGTTTATATTTATTACTTATAACAGCAAATTCGTTAATATCTATCCAAAACCATCAAAATTGACCAGTTCTCTGCCATCATCAGATCAACACTCTAAATGTTGTTAATTAGCAGCTAAATGTTCTTTCTTTCAGAGTTCAGCTAAAATAATAAATATTTGTAAAAACAGTCAGAAAAACAAAAGTAACAGCAACAGAAAACTTTACTACACTGATAGCAAATAGTAAAATCTAAAAAAGAAATTTTTATAGCAACTTCATCCTTCACAATTCATATTTGTTTTGTTATATATATAGCAGTTTTAAGTTGCATTCATCGTTTATGAGCTTACATCCGTCTATCCAAAATGGCACCGCATTACATTTTCAAGATTCTTTGTTTGTTTATTCGTTGCGGGATTTTGATGTTAATATTTTTTCCATTTATGCTATGATTCGTTTAAAAAAGCCTAATTTATTGCTGCTATAAGTGTGCATATGTTAACGCATAATTTGTAGTCTAAAATTGATATTTACGAAAAACAAAAAAAAAAAAAGAGAAAACTTGTCTCCATGTTTTTTTGTTTCTAATTAACAACGCTTGTACTCAGATTTTTTTTTGTTTTGGTGGCTGCTGTAAAGTAAACCAGACAATTTTTGCCGTACCTGGCAACCATAAAGAATTATTTATTGAACGGTAGCTGACTGAGACTGATATTTACAAATAACATTTAGCATACTGATCACAAAAATATTTACATTTTATTAATTTTCTTCTGTCTTCCAACTTTTATTAACACTAATTTCAAACTTCGAACAGATAACAAAAAAGTAATTCTCATTTTCACTGTCCGGCAGACTGCTTTTAAAAGCATTAAAATTTTTTTTTGATGAAATTTTTTTGTCGAGAAAAACTCTGAATGTTCATGTTTTACCTTCCTCTTTCTTTTATCCTTTCTTTTTAACAGTACTACTTACTTTTAGACAGCCTAATTACGAAAACAGCAATAACGCACAACAAAATTAAGGCTAGCAGGGAAAACTTGCTATTGAAAACTTTTGGACTTACCAGAAATCAACTTGTCATTTCATTTTCACCCTAAGCAGTTAAGTAGTTGAAAGATGAAGATCACAGCCAAGATAGCGGATGCATTTTTCGCGAAAATTTTAGCCAAAATCAAAAACGAAAACATCCATCCCGTCGAAGCTGACAGACAGCAACAGATGAAATTCAACTTAGGTGGCTAATACAGAAGCATATAAACCTATGAGGTAGAAGACTTAAGCTCAGTCTAACCTAGCATGCACATCAGTCTATAGGCCAAAAAGCTAGCAAATTACGATGCTATCTTTACAGAATTTTACACCTTCTCCTTCACCACAAACCAGTCATCAGCTGAGCCGTCACTCTGAGATTCAACATCAGCAACATTTTTAGCCATATCACTTAAGCAGTCAAAATCGTTAAGTGATACGTCGTCATCCTGATCTGTGTCTTGGACGGTCTCAGTCTGAACTTGACAAATTACATCCTCTGCCGGTTCAGTTTTCACTTCAGTTACCAAAGAGTTGTCAACAACAGTTACACTGCCATCATCTGTGATTGGTGAAAGACATATTTTTTGAAACAGCTGTAAAGTTGAAATTTTTTTAGTTAAACACAAAGAACCGGTAATACGACATTAAATCAAGAAAAATTAACCGAACAGACAATCCTGCTTTAATAAGCCTAGAAATTTTAAAAGGTAAGTTCCTATGTCACTTACAAAAAAAAGTACCCGCATATATATGTATTATATGCCTTATATTTACCATTTTTAGTTTAAACTATAAAAATTTTGACAACTGCACTTCTCCAAAATGTCAAAGAATTCTGGTAAACCTTACACTTCAACTTGAGTCACTTTAAAAATTTTCTGGTTTCTGTACATTTTTGCCTACAACGACTACAAAGCAATTTTTTCCCAAAAGTGTTTCAGAAATACTGAAGTAGAAATTCTATTAATCACTTGCTTCTAAAACTCTACTTTTTGAACTTAATTCAAAGTACTCATTTTGTGTAATTTCTCTTCAAATACATTAGGCCATCAATAATTCATCATCATTCAAGAGCTGAACATCAAAAAGTTTCATTACTTCTTGTTCAAAAATTGAAAATCTGACCAATAAACCAATCAAAAAGAGTGCTTACTGCTTCCGCTAGTAGTTGGTTCCGTTTGTCGAAATCTGGATCTATCACCGGAGAGTTAGCTTGATCCTTTAAAACTTTTCTCAAAATCCTGGTGCTTTTTTCAGACTTTAAGCTTGCTTTCACTTGGCTAATTTTAAACTCCGTTGTATAAGGGAGAGAATTAGATGGCTGATGGTTACTGTCTGATTTTTCCAATGCAAAAGATGGTATCGCTTCTAAATAAAACTCTATAACTTCTTCTCTTTACAGAACGAAAATATTAGTTAAAAGCATAAAATTTAGTTCTCAAACTTCAAAAAAACTCCACCTTTACCAGATAAAGCAGTGTACAGCTGAAGGACATGAAAGTTGCATCGATTATTAAACGCAGCCTTGAGACCATTGTCATCGAATATCTCGTGCCATTTTCCGCATTGGTCTAGAAACTTATACACTCACAGATAATATCGACCAATAGGCTACACACTTTTTTTTTATCCTGAACTTAAAAAAACTGCAAACCTTGCCATTCAACAGTGCTATCAAAACCAGGGACTTGAGTTTTCATATAGCTGATAAGTTCTAGAAAACCTTGAGCAACATCAAAAACAAAGTGGTAACGAGATCCCGAGTGAAACCAGATTATTTGTCTTTTTAACTAAATTATTTCCAAATTAAATAAAAGTGATAAAAATCAATGAAAAATTTTTTATAGATTAACAAAAGAGACTCTTAACATGACAGGAAATAAATATTAAATTCTTTGAAATAAAACAATCATTTTACCGCATTAAAATATGGATAAAAATCGGAATAATCTTTCACATGACTACGAAAAGTACTGAATAAACGTTCATAAACCTGAAAAGTCATACAACAGAATAACCAATTCAACCAGGTAGAAGAGCCTTTAAAATAATACTATTCAAGTGAAAATTAGAGTCAGAGTAACAAAAGCTCAATCCCAGCATTAAATTCGTCTGTACTATCATCTCACAAAATCACTTTCAGTTGGACATACAGCATTCATCTGATTCAAACTACTAACCGTCACAGTGAGATCTGACAGGCGAACTAGTGGATGCTTATCATGAACACCATTCTTTTCACAATTAGAACAGAAACAGGTATCTTCACAAACAGCGCATTCGTACCGAATACCATTAAACCTCCTATCGCAGTTAGCACATTCATAATAGTCGGAATCCTCTTCCTAATCAGAAAACTTTAGATAATTGTAAATGTGTATCTAATTACACCTTCCCTTCTTTCTTATTATCCCTTTTCAAAAGTCCAGTGATTCAGAGAAAAAAGTTAAATTTAGCAATACCAAAATATTACCTTGCCGTATTTACAACATTGAGCCTGCACTGCGCTTAGATTTTCAGTATCCTGACCCGCTATAATATATGAACATACAGTAGCCATCAGAATAAAGTCATCAAAGGGCACGTAGTTAAAAAGAAATATTAGGAGCCCTTCAAGCTCTCAAATTTATTAGTGAAACCCCAAGAAACTAAAACAAAAAATTATAAAATCATTTAAAACATAGACAATTTCTCATCTCTTCTCATATGAGAAAAAATTATACCGAAAGAAACAAAGCTAACATATGGCTTTGAACATTGACACCGTATGGCCTCAGCAAGTTCAGCATCCGAAGAGATCTCTACCAGATCATCTTCTTCATCTAGAATAAATAGATAAAACATACGGTTTTGATGCAACTAAAGACTTTACTTTGAAGATACCCAGATAAACTTCAAATCAGCAACAGCTTAACCCTAACCTTTCCAGCAAAGCATCTCTTCGAAGTCCGGTACATGACGCTTAAGAAGTGTCATAAGGTCGTTATAGGAAATGTTTGCGGTTATCTCAAACATACGACACTGACCATGATGGTCCCAAATAACATTGACGCCCCGTGACTCTGAATCACGAGCCAAATTTTCATACTCTATCTAAACCTATTTAATTCATCGGAAGAATCACAAAAGTATGTGATACATCATCTCTTAAGAACTTTTCCGTAGCTTTGCAGTAAAACAATCTTCCTGCTCGTCATCCAACGACTACTTTCCAAAAAATTCTTTCAAATACGACAATGTTATTTATTTTGCTAGATGAAAGACTTCAAAAATATATCGTTTTTTATCAATTTCTTCCCTATTTATCCCTTTTAACTATTTTTAAAATTCCGTTAACCACAAAATTAAACAAGTGCTGTGACAGCATGCCAGATAAATGACAGATTTACTTGCTCAATTTAGGTTCTGCATAAGCAAAAAAATTGAGACAAGAAAACTAGGATGAGATACGTGTAAAAATAAGAAAAGAAATAAATAAAGATTTTTAAAGCTCATTTTAGATTACAAATTTTTTTAGTCTTTCTTTGATATCCTTTCTAAAAGATTATATCTCAGATAAATATGCCAAAACCGCTTTACTATATTCATCAGTTTTTTATACCCTTCACCAGGCCATTCCCCAACCACCCATTAATAGATTTTTTGTCCTAAGCGGTGTTCAACTGTACATACCTCGTCGATCAACTTTCTTTTACTGCATTCAGTTTTCGCTATGTCATCTGCAAAACAATTGGAAAAGTACATTGTTTTAAAACTGTCGAATTTTACACTTGTTTTTCAAATACAATAAGAAAAAAAAAGATGACAGCATCAGTCGAAAAAAAAAAAAAACCAATTTTTTTTTAAAAACTCAAATAATTTACATTTTTATTAAAATGTAAAACTTTTTTTTTCTGCCAAAAATAATTTGGCTAAAAAACTTCCTTAATTCATCTGTCCCTTTATTCAAAAAAAAAACTCCACACCTCAAATTTATTTATCCCTTTATTTAAGGAAGACTCCGTCACCTCAACCTCCACTTTTCTTCCTCTTTTTTTTTTTTTTTTCTTTCGTATAACAAAAGACCAGTCTTTTCCATTAGAGGTCAAAGGTCGTCACAACATAAAACATGTCAACAACAGTTTCAAGATTCATCATCATCGACAACGACGACGACGACAACCACAATACTAATAAAATAACAATAGACCCATAGTACTGAACAAACAAACAGCAATAGCCTATTACCAATTGTGAAAATTCGAAGAAGTTTTTTGTTATGTGGTTGGCATAGAGCAACGTGCAGATCGATTGCTGACAACAAAGGAACAAGGTTTCCATCATCGTCTGCAAACGAAAAAAACAGCAGTCTTCAAAATCAAAGCTTAAAAAAAAATAAACAGAAGAATAAAAAGCAAAAAACATGAAAATTTTTCCATTTCTTTTTTTATTTCCTCCGCCTACTATCCCCCTTCTCCCCCTCCGTTGCCCCAGTTAATCATAAATCGATTAAATAACAAACTTCTTATTCTTGATTTTACTTTCTTCCATCGCCTGTTATCCATCAATAATGTCTTGCAAATGCAAACAAGCCAAAAAAATCAAAAAGCAAAAGATGATAGCAGAACAAAAGAAAAAAAACGAAAGTAAAAAAAAATGAAACAAAATATAAATGAAAATTGTTCAAAAGCTCAATCCCTAAACAGTCACCGATCAGTGTCGATGATAGTTATCAGTATAAAATTAAAAAAAAAAAGCACTGCCAAATTGCTCACCTTTCCAAGCAAGTTTCCCAGTAAAATCTGGAACAATCTGTCGTAACTTAGTTTCAAAACATCGATATGTCATATAACTGTCGTCCGATTCTGTAACCGGAAAGCGGCGAAAACGATTTTGATGATCCCATTTTACCCAAAACATACCCAACCAATAGTTCAAATCTATAAAAGGAAAGCAAAATAAACTCTCATGAAAATCACTGAAATGATCACTGTTAAATGGAAACGAATGAACAACAGGGAAAAGCAAAACAGAGCTGTATGCCACAGTAGTTATGTTCTTCCATCAAATAAATTATTGTTTAATCTTTCTTTAACGTTTTGCCTAAAAAAATCTATTGTTGATAATCATATGAAACAAACTAAAAATACAGGGTGCACAAAACTAATATTAAAAACGACACAAAAAAATGTACAAAAAAAGCAAAAATATTTTCAGTACAAATATATACAATTAATAAAAAAGCCTTTTCTTTTCAAAACTGAAAAGAGAACAGTGAAATAAACATATATTTCCAAATAACCATCAAATTTTAACAACAAACTGTCACAAAGAAAAATTTTACTCCTCCATTTTCTACTTAACTGTAAGAATGAAAAAAATTATCACCTTAAAAACAAAATTCTCCTCCCTCCTCAAAAAAAAAAAAAAAAAAAAAAAAAAA